GATGCTTCCTTCTGTATGTTACATACTTTGCACAAACCTAATATACCCTTTTTACCCTACGGGTACAGGGTATAAAAAGGGTATATTAGGTTTGTGCAAAGTATGTAACATGCAGAAGGAAGCATCTCCGACCCCATAAAGTATATATATTCTGAATCAGCATGACGAGAGAAATCGATCTAGACATGTCCGTCCGTCCGTCCGTCTGTCCGTCTGTCCGTCCGTCTGGATGAACGCAAGGATCTCAGAAACTATAAAAGCTAGAATAACCAAAGTTGGCATCCAGATTCTCCTAGGTCCGAGAAAGGACGAGTTTATTTTATTTTTTGGAATTTTCCCCCCCTTCCCCCGATACAGAATTTCGTCAATAACGTCCACATTTCAAGTGCTACCTAAACCAAACTTTGCACTCATAATTTATAAATAATTGTCTGCTGTTGTTTTATTCAATTCGGTCAATTCTAAGAAAAGTTATTAGCGAAACAAATTCTCGCCAGTACAACCCCCCCCCCAAACTGCAGCAACAAGTTTGCTCTTCTTCTTCCTCTTTTTGCTGCTGCTATGGGCGCATATAACTCAGTGACGGAAGTTTACCTGGGTACAGGGTATTACACTGTCGGGCTTGCTCGACTGTAGCGTTCTCTCTTGTTTGAAAATCGATCGTTAAGGGAAATAGTACGTGTTAAAAGTCCCTGTATGTCGATTTCTCCCTTGTCGAAGAGTTCCATAGCGTCCATGATTTTACGAGCGTGGTCCTGAGTATAATAATAATTGTTTTAATATTTCATATAAATAAATTGAATTTCAATTATCTTACCCGTATTTTTATACTCTGTACATGAAATGTACAAGAGTATATTAGGTTTGCGGGAGCTGAAAAATGTAACAGGCAGAAGGAGGCGTGGCAGACCCCACAAAGTATATATATTCTTGATCAGCATGACGAGACGAGTCGATCTAGCCCTGTCTGTCTGTCTGTCCGTCTGTCCGTCTGTCCGTCCGTATGAACACCTGGATCTCAGAGACTATAAGAGATAGAGACACCAAATTTTGCACGAAGATGCGTTATGTGTGTATTCTATACGAGTTTGTTTTATTTTTTTGATTTTCCCCCCCACTTCCCCCCTATGGGGGTTTTCCCGATTTTCCATTCGTATAATCGCCTATATCTCGGAGACTATAAGACCTAGGAACACCAAATTTTAGTCCCAGATGCCTTATGTGAATACGCAGAAAATGTATATTTTGGAATTCCCCTCCCTCCCCCCTCTACCCCGCAAATCGTAACTCCCGTAATTCTTGGAATTTCGAACTAAAATTTTGGAAATACCCCCAGCTGGTTATTATGTGTCCGTATGCCAAATTTCATTATGATAGACCGATTTAACAAGAAGTTATAGCCATAAATATATTTGCTGATGCAGCGCTGCTGCAGCGCTGCTCAAGCGCTGCCCGCGGCTGTTGTTGATGTTGCTGTTTGGTTGACTGCGAAAATGCTTACACAGACACGAATTGATGCGCATAGGCATACATACACTCACACAGACGCAATTGCTATGTAAATGTGCAATTATACACCCTTTACGTGAGTTCGAATACCGAGAGAGGTAAAATCGATCAATTTTTTTTTTTATTTTCTTAATTTTTTTTAATTTCTATATTTATTCTAAACATATGTACAGAGTATTTCAAAGTCGGGACACCCGACTTTAGCTTTTTTACTTGTTTTCGACTGTGGTTGGTATCCAACACCACCATTTTGAAACAGCAGAGCAAATTCGCGACTTTTTTCATATTCGGCATCTATAGGACATTGGACAAATTTAAAAAAATGCCCTTTTGCCCGAATTTTATTTCCCAAATTCAAGTTATATGCCTCAACAGAGCTCGTGGTTCTTGTTGAACGTTTAAACACAGATATGTTTTTAGGTCCTTCCTACATAATTGAAAAATATGCGATTTAACACACAAATTAAAAGTAAATGATTTAAAAGTAATACAAACATAAAATAAAAACATACCTTTTTAAACCATTGCTTTTTAAAATATGTCAAAAAGGAAGAAAATAGTTTTTCATCTATAGCAGTTGCTTGGCATTTCAAAAGATTAAAACCTTCGACAATTTTGTTGGCTGGCAAGAGCGGTAAATGCAGGAATTTCATAAAAACCATATATGCTAGTTTGTTGCTTTTTAGCATATGCTCAAAACCAATCGTTTTTTTTGCATTTTTCTTGCATGCTTGAGTAAAATGAAACCAGCAAGCATAGAAATCCATGTTGGGATGTATGGTTTTCAAAGCGTTACGCATTGCCTTTTCATAATCCGAAATGAAAGATGCCCCATTTAGACAGCAAAGATTGGAGTCAATGTATGTGAACAAATGCTGATAGCAAAGCTCCGTTTTTCACGTCATCAAAACAAATATAAATGGAATTTTCTAAAAAGGAGTTTTTAATTATTAAGTATTATTTGGAAAAAAACTTACCTTTTGCATATGTTTGATATAAATAATCAAAAGTTACTTGAAGTCTCCAAAAGGGCAAATTTTAAATGTAGCATCAATTAAAAAATTTCGAACTTGCTCCTGAATATTGGCTTGCATCAAGGCGATTATCTTGTCTGATGCAAAAATGCAGTATGCAAATGAGCTTGAAGAATAAATATAAATAATGCCACGCGTACATTTTCTGGAGTAGTTGGAGATTTTGGCAGGAAAGGCTGTCTCTTTCTTTGCAGGGTGCGTTTGACAGTGTCGTAGTTTATTTCAATCTCCGATTCTCCCTTTGTTTTCCTGAAGAATTAGAAAAACAATATAAAAAATCAAAGTGAATTGTTAATGCGTGTTTCTATGCACATATCAATGCATGTATGTATGTACATTTTATATTTGCACACATGAACACATGCACATGTACACAACTGAATAAAACAACAATTTTAGCCGCGCACATTGTACATATGTATAAAATAGTCTCCCTATACATCTACATACCTACATACATGCAATGAGCATATAGTATGAATGTACATATATTTATATGTACATATGTAGGCATATGCGCGCCTAAAATTGCGTTATGTACATATGTTGTTTTATATGTACATATGTATGCATATGCGCGCCTAAAATTGCGTTATGTACATATGTATATGCACATACATACATATGTATGTACGTGTATTTCAATTGTATATGGCTACTTAGCAAGTACATCATTGAATATTTGTTTAGTGTCGGTGTTTTCATTATTTTGGCACTTTTTTTTCATTTCACTTAAGGCAATTAACTTTTCCATTTCAACAATCTGGGAACCATGGCTATGCATTATGTTTTCTGGTTTTGAATAGGCTTCAGCTTGGTCTGAGCTCAAATACACTCTGGCTTTACAACCGGCCATACGGCATACATATGCCGTATGACCACATTTAAGTTCCTTATTTTTTAAATAAATTTGTTGCTCACTTAGTGAAAATAGCAGGAGTGAGCAACCGGCGCGACTGCCTTCTCTTAACTCAAATTCTATCTTTTCCATTCTTTAAATTTAAGCTAAACCAACTGGGCACTTTGAGGTCTCGAAATCAAATGATAATTGCTATGCAGAACTAAAGATCAGTTCATTGCATCACATACATACATATTTGGCGCGCGAATGTCAGCTATTCGCCAAATACACAGTAAAAATTGTATATTTATATGTATGTTAGAGAAAGCAACATGACAAAAGCCACCTGATTAAATCAATGTGCAAGAAAGGCAAACAAATGAACTATGTAGTTTATCTGGTAGGATCTGTGCAACCATGATTTATACTAGAGCCCTATTTTACAACTTTCCTAGATAGACAAGCGTTACAGTCCTCATTTGTAAGCACTCAAGTTGATGCTCTGAATAAATAAAGAAATGGATCCAAATAGATTTTATACATTTTTCTCACAGTGTATTTACAATTTATGAGGCGCCGAAAACAAAGAATGAGGTGACGAAATAAAGGAATAAGGGAAAAACCAAAGAAGCGCACTTTTGGCGCGTGTCAGTGCAGTAACTTCTAGAATGCAGTGGGACGAAACAATTGTAAGGGATTGGGGTTTTGTCAAGTTTAAATATTAAACACTAATTTAACAAATTCGTATGTATAAATATACAATTACAAAAATTGACGCACATGAATAATGAAAGGCTATACTATATGTTTGCTTATGCGTGAAATTTTTGAAATTTTTTTCAAACCCTGGGTAGTGAACCAATCTTCAACAAATTTGGTGTCAAAGACAAAAGAGAATGCTGTAAGTAGACACATAATATATACATATAAATTTGTTGAACATTGGGTCACTACCCAGGGTTTGAAAAAAATTTCAAAAATTTCACGCATAAGCAAACATATAGTATAGCCTTTCATTATTCATGTGCGTCAATTTTTGTAATTGTATATTTATACATACGAATTTGTTAAATTAGTGTTTAATATTTAAACTTGACAAAACCCCAATCCCTTACAATTGTTTCGTCCCACTGCATTCTAGAAGTTACTGCACTGACACGCGCCAAAAGTGCGCTTCTTTGGTTTTTCCCTTATTCCTTTATTTCGTCACCTCATTCTTTGTTTTCGGCGCCTCATAAATTGTAAATACACTGTGAGAAAAATGTATAAAATCTATTTGGATCCATTTCTTTATTTATTCAGAGCATCAACTTGAGTGCTTACAAATGAGGACTGTAACGCTTGTCTATCTAGGAAAGTTGTAAAATAGGGCTCTAGTATAAATCATGGTTGCACAGATCCTACCAGATAAACTACATAGTTCATTTGTTTGCCTTTCTTGCACATTGATTTAATCAGGTGGCTTTTGTCATGTTGCTTTCTCTAACATACATATAAATATACAATTTTTACTGTGTATTTGGCGAATAGCTGACATTCGCGCGCCAAATATGTATGTATGTGATGCAATGAACTGATCTTTAGTTCTGCATAGCAATTATCATTTGATTTCGAGACCTCAAAGTGCCCAGTTGGTTTAGCTTAAATTTAAAGAATGGAAAAGATAGAATTTGAGTTAAGAGAAGGCAGTCGCGCCGGTTGCTCACTCCTGCTATTTTCACTAAGTGAGCAACAAATTTATTTAAAAAATAAGGAACTTAAATGTGGTCATACGGCATATGTATGCCGTATGGCCGGTTGTAAAGCCAGAGTGTATTTGAGCTCAGACCAAGCTGAAGCCTATTCAAAACCAGAAAACATAATGCATAGCCATGGTTCCCAGATTGTTGAAATGGAAAAGTTAATTGCCTTAAGTGAAATGAAAAAAAAGTGCCAAAATAATGAAAACACCGACACTAAACAAATATTCAATGATGTACTTGCTAAGTAGCCATATACAATTGAAATACACGTACATACATATGTATGTATGTGCATATACATATGTACATAACGCAATTTTAGGCGCGCATATGCATACATATGTACATATAAAACAACATATGTACATAACGCAATTTTAGGCGCGCATATGCCTACATATGTACATATAAATATATGTACATTCATACTATATGCTCATTGCATGTATGTAGGTATGTAGATGTATAGGGAGACTATTTTATACATATGTACAATGTGCGCGGCTAAAATTGTTGTTTTATTCAGTTGTGTACATGTGCATGTGTTCATGTGTGCAAATATAAAATGTACATACATACATGCATTGATATGTGCATAGAAACACGCATTAACAATTCACTTTGATTTTTTATATTGTTTTTCTAATTCTTCAGGAAAACAAAGGGAGAATCGGAGATTGAAATAAACTACGACACTGTCAAACGCACCCTGCAAAGAAAGAGACAGCCTTTCCTGCCAAAATCTCCAACTACTCCAGAAAATGTACGCGTGGCATTATTTATATTTATTCTTCAAGCTCATTTGCATACTGCATTTTTGCATCAGACAAGATAATCGCCTTGATGCAAGCCAATATTCAGGAGCAAGTTCGAAATTTTTTAATTGATGCTACATTTAAAATTTGCCCTTTTGGAGACTTCAAGTAACTTTTGATTATTTATATCAAACATATGCAAAAGGTAAGTTTTTTTCCAAATAATACTTAATAATTAAAAACTCCTTTTTAGAAAATTCCATTTATATTTGTTTTGATGACGTGAAAAACGGAGCTTTGCTATCAGCATTTGTTCACATACATTGACTCCAATCTTTGCTGTCTAAATGGGGCATCTTTCATTTCGGATTATGAAAAGGCAATGCGTAACGCTTTGAAAACCATACATCCCAACATGGATTTCTATGCTTGCTGGTTTCATTTTACTCAAGCATGCAAGAAAAATGCAAAAAAAACGATTGGTTTTGAGCATATGCTAAAAAGCAACAAACTAGCATATATGGTTTTTATGAAATTCCTGCATTTACCGCTCTTGCCAGCCAACAAAATTGTCGAAGGTTTTAATCTTTTGAAATGCCAAGCAACTGCTATAGATGAAAAACTATTTTCTTCCTTTTTGACATATTTTAAAAAGCAATGGTTTAAAAAGGTATGTTTTTATTTTATGTTTGTATTACTTTTAAATCATTTACTTTTAATTTGTGTTTTAAATCGCATATTTTTCAATTATGTAGGAAGGACCTAAAAACATCTGTGTTTAAACGTTCAACAAGAACCACGAGCTCTGTTGAGGCATATAACTTGAATTTGGGAAATAAAATTCGGGCAAAAGGGCATTTTTTTAAATTTGTCCAATGTCTTATAGATGCCGAATATGAAAAAAGTCGCGAATTTGCTCTGCTGTTTCAAAATGGTGGTGTTGGATACCAACCACAGTCGAAAAAAATACGGGTAAGATAATTGAAAATCAATTTATTTATATGAAATATTAAAACAATTATTAGTATACTCAGGACCACGCTCGTAAAATCATGGACGCTATGGAACTCTTCGACAAGGGAGAAATCGACATACAGGGACTTTTAACACGTACTATTTCCCTTAACGATCGATTTTCAAAACAGGACTTGCTCGACAGTGTGACAAATTTGTCTGGAATGTCGCCTGAAATGAAGTCATCGACATCATCGCTTTCGTCGGACGATTCTAATTTAATCCAGCTATTTAGTAATGAATTCGTATTATCAAATCCCTGCAATGTATGCCTTATGAAACCAAAGACCGTTTTATTGCGGCCATGTAACCATGTAAATATTTGTGGTTCTTGTTGGGATCAAATTGTTGCCCACCATGAACAAGATAATGAAAATCCTAAGCTTAAATGTCCAACATGTAAACAAGAAGTAAATGAAGCAATTCGCAATCTTTTCATTTATACATAAAAATGTATTTGAGTAAATATACCTAAAACAAAGATAAAAAGGTATATTAGAAGTATATTAATAAATAAAATATATGTTAAGTAGCTTTGTACGGCATAGCGTCATATCTCCGACGACATATCTCCGTCGAACTGAAAGCGACATATCTCCGCGCGGAGATATGTCGTTTTTACTTCGGCGGAGATATGTCGTTTTCAAGCGTCATAACTCCGCGCGGAGATATGTCGTTTTAAAACGTCATATCTCCGCCGAAAAAAAAGCGACATATCTCCGCCGTAAAAATGTACTGTATGCCGAGTCTTTTCGTGCCATATTGAGTCAATACGGTCACGCACAAACTCGGTATATGAAACACGGCACTCGTGTCAATGCCGTGCAGCGATGAGCCACGATCAAAAAGAACTGACAATTCTCATCTCAATTTGATAGAGTAAAACTTTCGATATTTAATAATAAAAATCTAATTATTTATTAACTGTAAACTTTTGTCGTTTTGCCTTTGCAATTAACATTAAATGGTCAAAACGAAAGAAGAAGAGCGAGCCAATGACTTGCAGTTGTTGTTGTTTTTAGAGCATTATTTTTTTTACAATCAAACAACTGTGTTCGATTGCCCAATGTATACATTAATACGAATGTACATACATTCTATATTCATACACAGGGATACATACATACATACATATGTATGTTTCTCTTTACTTTTTCACCCGTGCGTAGAGAACCGCACACATAGACACGAACTGTTGCTTGTTGTGTGTGTGAGTGTGTGTATGTGATGTCCCCAACTATTTGATATTTGTTGTTGCTGCATAAAGTTATTAATGAAAACCCTAATGCCAAATGCACTAAACAAAGAAAAAATTACTTTTAAAAATGTTATATAATTTTCAATTAATTAACACATCTTGCTCTGTCAGTGCAAGACGAATGTACATACATACATATGTAGTGTGTGTGTGTATGTATACTTAGTTGTCCCCAACTGTTTGATATTTTGTATTGTTTGTTCTGCCTGCTTTTGTAAAATGCATATTTTGAAAATCCTTGAATGCAAAGTTGTAGATTTAGTTACGTAGATTACATTACCCAAATTTTAAATCGATCGGACTAAATTTATAACACAAACTTTTCATTTGAAATAGTGAATAAATATTAAAACCCCAATTATTCAAGCTCCAAATGCGGATTTTTCAAACAAACTTTGGAGCTACTTTTCCCCCTTTGGAGCTCGAATTTTCCAAAATCCCTTCTTAGTGCGCATCTACAGCATGATAGGATACTTGAGCCCAGATTTCATCCTAGCTTTTACCGTGTGGGCTGTGGGCTGTTGACGCGGTTTCCTTTTGTGCCCCAACATTTTTTTACAGGAAAACTCCCATAATTTAGGGCCCAAAAAAATACCAAAAAACCAAGTATACAGTTTTTCTTGGAATTGTTCTGAGAGTATACAAAGTAAGTTTGAAGTTAATCAGATGAAAACTGTAGATTTTTCATACAAATGTTGGAGCCTGTTTTCCCCCCTTTGGAGCTCGAGTTTTCCAAAATCCCTTCTTAGTGGGCACCTAGACTATGAAAGGATACTTGGGTCCAAATTTCAGCATCCTAGCCTTTACCGTTTGCGCTGTGCGTTGATCACCAATCAGTCAGTCAGTCAGTCAGGACAAACTGTTTTATATATATAGATTTCTCTGATGTCTGTGACTGCGCTTGGCAGCTATGAGGAGGGCTTCTTGAATAGTTGTGATTGGGCCTGGAACACACTACAGGATTTTGGCGTGACTAAAACATTACTCTGACCATTGCTTGGTTTCTCTGATGCGAAGGGCCGCCAGCGTGGCGTTTATTTTGCCCATGAGATGTAATGAGAGTATTCCCAGAATCGCATCTAATGCGTTGCTGGGAGTGGTGCAGAGTGTTCTCTGAAGAGACGAAATTTTTGTCAGTGATGAACACCATATAGAGACTCCATATAGGAGTATGGGTCTGATAATTGACGTTGCCCAAGTAGGCAGTATGCTTAGTACATCGGTCATGCGCTCGAGTTACCGTATCTCCCAGCGAGGGTATCCCAGAGTCGATACCGCCTCTTAAGCCACTAGGAAGCGGATAAAGTTACATCTCCCCCGCCTCACCACCTCGCCACACAGCTGAAAGGGCATTGGCACATTGTAGCGGTTGTGTATACAATACCAAAAGTCCAAGGATGCATTTTAAGAGGATGTGGCGACACTTCTGGCTGCACCGAAACAGCCGCAACAGCATAATTTTAAGAATTCATTGTAGACATGAGGTTAGCATAAGATTTGAGAATAAATGGATATTCAGTCTGATTCAAGAAACCAAATTGACTAGTTGTTCATTGTGAAGAAAAAGGAAACTACCTTTATAAGTGATAAAAGCCCAAATTGGTTACTTTTATTTGTGAAATGACAAATACGTGTACTTAACATTAACACCGTCAACTACGGCAATTGACACTACCGACAACTAAGGTCAATCAGGAGCTGTTCTAAGCAAGGACCAAGGAGACTCAGGTTTCGATGACCATCCCAGGACTCCCGTCAGGAGAATTGTTGTCTTCCCTCAGCCACGGATTGGTAACTGGCGCAGCCGGACACGGACCAAGGATGATATTAGCCGCTAGCATATGGTTAGAATGCTAGGCAAGATATAATATGTAAAAGATAAGAGTACAAATGAAAATGAAAAGTGAAATGGTAGCGATACAAAAAAAGGGCATACAAGTGCTGGAAATAACAAAGTTAAATTAAATAAATACATAAATAATTCAAGCTATGAAAAAACGAAACGACAAGAACGAGCCACGTCATATCGTGCAACTTGGTTGCGGTGGTTCGATTCGGGTTCTTGCGCAGAATGTTAGATGAGCACGAACGAAAGTTGTGTTCACGCATACCAACAAATCCGTTGCAATATCTGTATTGCATTTGATCGAATCAGTACGGCGAAGCGAGCACGTTGGACGTTCAGTTGGCACTTAGAACCAGGGTTCGTAAAATGCGGGCAAAACCCGTTCGGGCCCGCGAGAAATTCTGCTGCGGGTCGCCGCGGGTCGCTGCCGACAGCAGCAGAGGGTCGGCCGGATCGTCTGGCAGAGGTCACGGGTCGTGCGGGTACGCCGTGCTTCGCCGCGGGTCGCTGCCGACAGCAGCAGTGTCGTACGAGCCGGTCTGCAGTAGCAGAGCGCTCGTTCGTGCTGAGTGAGGCTATAAGGGATGAAATGAATCGCGCACATTTTGCCTTGAAATATATACACACAAGCATACCATCATACAAATTTAACACATATGTACGACCCGATCGAACCCGCGGCCTCTGTCGGCAGCGACCCGAAAAAACCCACGTCAGCATTTCTTAAGGGTTGCAGCGGGTTGCGAGCACATTTTACGAACCCTGCTTAGAACTACGGCGACGAGAACAACACAAGTTGAGCTCGAATACAACATACAAGTGAAGCCAGGTACAATAGTAAGGGTGGGATCGAACCGCGTTGTAAGGCTAGTTGGACGCAAACCAATTTCGGTTGGTTTGAACAGGTCACTGAAACATGCTGCACTACGCAAGGTTCGTTGAGAAATAAACCAGTCATGCGCTTCAGGGTTAAGAAAGAACCACTGCAAGAAAGGCAATAATATATAAATAAGAAACAAACACAATATTTTCTTAAACAGAGGTGAGCCTTATGTGGTTACAGGCCGAAGAATATGTAGAATCGCACTGATGTTGGGAGTTGCATCGAGCATATACCTTATGTCGCATTCGGCATGTCTGAGGTTGAACCAGATTGGAATGAACCCAAAATGGGGTGATGCAAATAAAAAAAAATAAAACAAAACAAAAGGAATAATAAGAATAATACTAATAAATAAATAAAAAAAAAAGTATATATACGTGCTTTCAAAGTAAACAGGACTTTTTGAATCTAGCGCCCCATGGTGGCGCTATCTATATGTCGACTAGTGCGTTAGAATCTGCTATCTTTACCGATTGTCCAGTGAGAATTTCATGACATTTCATTGATTG